GTTACAGCATCAATTGCAAGCTAATGCAACATGAAAAGATGTTAACATTATTAGCCATTAGGAATAGGCAAATAAAAACAAGTATGAGATACCACTACTCACTGATAAGAATGGCTGAAATATAAAATGCTGGCCAGGTGCCGTGGCTCACACCTGCAATCCCAACACTTTGGGAGGTTAAGGTGGGCAGATCACTTGAGGCCATGAGTTTGAGACCAGCCTGGCCAACATGGCAAAACCCCATCTCTACTAAAAATACAAAAATTAGCCAGGTGTGGTGGTGTGCACCTGTAATCCCAGCTACTCGGGGAGGCTGAAGTGGGAGGATCACCTGAGTCCAGGAGGTCAAGGCTGCAATGAGCTGAACTGTGATTGTGCCACTGCACTGAAGCCTCAGAGACAGAGTGAGACCCTGTTTCAAAGAAAAGAAGGAAAGAAAGAAAGAAAGAAAGAAAGAAAGAAAGGAAGGAAGAAAGGAAGAGAGAGAGAGAGAAAAGAAAGGAAAGGAAAGAAAGAAAGGGGGAAGGAGGGAGGGAAGGAAATAAATGAATAAATAAATAAATAATTACAGTTGCAGTGTATCTAGAATTGGATCACTTCTCATCATTGCCACAGCTACTGGTACAGTCCAAGTCACTGTCATCTGTGGCCTGGCTTAGTGTAATGTCTTTCCAACTACAGTCTACTCTCAGTATAGCAGAAATCTGATCAAGTCATTCCTCTGTTCAAAATCCTCCAACGACTTCCCATTTCATTCAGACTTACAAAACCCCACAATATCTGTGCCATTCTTCCCCCTGCCTCACATCATTTTCTCTAGCCTTTTTGAAACTCATCTCATTTTAGTCACACTGGCTTCTTTGTTCTTCCTGAAATATATCCCGAATATATCCTAGAATTTTCTTCTCCCTGACTTTTGCATGGTGACCTCTTTTCACTTCCCTTAGATCCTTGTTCAAATGCCATGTTATCAGTGAGCCCTTTCTTTATTAACTTACTGAAAATTGCAGCTCCCCTGCATCACCCGTGGTTGGCAGCCTATACCCATTTCCTGTTCTCCTGCTCTGGTTTGTTTTTTCCATGGCTCCTATGAAGATAAATGGATTTTGTCTGTTTTGTTCTGTGCTGTGTTTCCAGCACCTAGAACAGTTCCTCAGCACATAGCAGGTGCCCATTAAATATGTGCTGTTGAATGAATATATCCTTGCGTGGCTTGTGAGGATAGCCTGAAACATCCAGGGGCAAGTGGAAATTTCTTTAATGTTTTGTGCTTTCTTTAAAAAAATCCATATGTATTTTGTACTTTATAGCATAGAGGCCTGTGTTTTATTATAAGCGTACTTTACCTCAAAATCTTTGAGGTGGAATGATAGTCCAAGAATATGTTTACCCATAGCCATCATACATCAGCATAAGCCACAGTCTGAGAGGACATTTTTAAGTATTAAAAGCTTAAGCTTAATTTTATCTTGATATAAATTAGTTAAGTGACCTCACCATGCAAGGAAGGTAGAGAGAGAGAGCTTTAGGATCTCCAGGTGATTTCAAAACATACAGATACAGATGAGAGCTCCGCAAAGCTGGAAATATCAAATTGATAGCAAATAGGCTGGCTCTAGCCCTAAAAATATTCCGAGTATACTTGGAAAATATATAATATAGTATAAGTCAATACATCTTGTGAGAAATGAGCCTTTAAATTTCAAGAATCAAAAGCAAGGTAATGTTAGCTATATTTGACTATTTTTGTGGGCTGGGGGAGTTGGGAAGCAACTAGGAAAAATGAAACGGCTGAGTGCTACCAGTGGGCAGTCTTTTCCTTTAAGAAAGGAGAAAGAGTACTTTGATCTTGCTCTATTTCCATTGTCTGTATTTGTATTAGGCAATTGTAATGTCTTTTAATAAAAAGATGATTTTTAAAAATTCACCAGCAAATGGCAGCCATTTGATAAACTTTTCCTACTTCTCTTTATCCTTCTGGCACTTTCTACCATGGTCTTTCTCCACTCTCCTGTTTTTGCTTTGTTCCTCTGAGGCTTGATAACATACGGGGAAAAAAAAGAAACTTGGATATAAGTTCAGAAAGAAAATGAGTTCAATGTGGGGAATCTGAGTGCCAGAAGTTTGAAGAGAGCATGTGGCGAGCTGACGGTGCCTTTTGGCAGAAGGCAGGGGAGAGATCTGGCAGGACTCCTCCAGGCATGGAGAACTGCTCACCTGGCCGCTCCACGGGGCCCTGCAGAGCAGCCTCATATTCCCTGCCAGTGGGTCGCCTCACAGTCCGTAAATATAAGATGGAAGATTCTTCTAGGGTGGAGAAAACATAAGTGAGGCAGTTTGTTCAGCATCTGCTATAGATTGTGGTGAGATGCATGCATACGCTGGGCTTTATTGATATCAATCATTTTGTCATGAGGCATCATCAGTGCTAAGGTAAATGAATCAATTGCATTTTGCCATTATGTATAATCATCAGGTCGTGTATTATATAATTCACCCACTGTTGGTCTTGAATAGGGCACTTTTCATTGAGGTATTTATTTGTAGACTTGGAGATTATATAGGGCTCTCAATTTGCTTCAGTTTGTTCCCTCGGAGCTTCTCCATCTTTGTTTTGTGATTCAGGCCCCAGAGGTTACCCATCCTTCCCTAACAGTACGGTAAGAGGAATGTCTATCTGAGTATAGTAGTCTAGCTCCTCTATGAGAACAAGAAGGTATGGGCATGAGAATAAAGAAGCATCTTTACCATTAAAAACATGCTCCCAGGACACTATACAGCCATTACTGCACACATGCATGACATTCCCTTTTGTACCTAACAGTAATTCCTAGATTCCTAGATAATGAAAACTGATTCAGATACGAGACAGAAATAATTAGAGAGATTTTAATTCTTCTAGCATTCCTTGAAGAGTTCTTAAGAGTGATCTTTTAAATATAACTCTTTCCTAATATCCAACCATGATTTACAAGAGAATTATGCCTCTATCCATTTCTGGTTTCCATCTTCTAACTTTAGAAATTTTTCATCTTATAGAAGAAGCTACCAACAGACATGACCAAAGAAAAATCTTGCCTAAATGTATTATATCAATGTCTAAGTTATCTCATTCTTTATTCTATATGCCAGAATCTTTTAAATCTATTTTATTTTATTTATTTTTGCAGAATTACATTTTCCACTGCTTCCAACGGAGTTAGAATGTACAGAGTTCCCTAAACTGGTATCTCCAATTTTTCATGTGTGTAGAAGTCCCCGTTCTTTCTTTCTGCCCCCTCTTTTTACCTCGAGGCTAATCCTTTGGCAAGCTGCCTTTTCAGGACTTCTGAGAATATTTCTCCACTGCATACCAGAATAACTGCCTCTGCCTTTCTTCCTTGACCTGTAAGTCCATTTAAAGCAACAAACTCCCCGTATGTCAACTGTTTTCCTCCAGCTGGTCAACAAGTAAAGATAACAAAACACATTCAGTGAAGATATTCATTCTCATTTCCTAAGCCAGAGAGACATGTGGAAAGAAATACTCAATCAGGGATCTATTGAAGGATTCTGCATAGTAGCGAAATCTGGAGACAATATGCCAAGCAATGCCAAAATAATTCTAAAAATGCATGTCCTTAATACAAGGGCTGTCTTATTTCTATCTGTATCTGCTGCAGTGCCTAGAACAGTGCTTGTCACAGAGGACTGTGTATCATAAAATGTCTCAGATTAATGACTCCGTTTTTGGCTTAGGTACCATGAGAACTTGTACCATCTATCCTAGCAGGACCTGACTGGGTAGACATCTGGGGCACCTTCCCTTGATCCATCTATCTGCTTTGCAAATGTCCCACCACAGAGACTATCGGCAGGGCTATGACCAGTGCAGAGGAACAAGTAAGTGCTTAGGCTCTGGAATCAGACTCTGAGCTCCAGTCTTGGCTCCATTACAACTGTGTGACTCTGTGCAAGTCCCATAATCTGGCTAAGCTTCAGTTATCTCATCCATAACATGGGGATTAATAGTACTTTGCTCATGAGGTTGTTATAACAATTACAGAGGATGATTGTGTGAAGTTCTCAGCAAGTACATGTATAATAAGCATACTTTTTTTATTTTTATTTTTTGCTAGTATTGAGGTATCAGGACACAAACGTCAATAAAAAACTTCACATAGCCTGGGTGCAGTGGCTTGTGCCTGCAATCTCTCACTTTGGGAGGCTGAGACGGGTGGATCGCTTGAGGTCAGGAGTTCAAGACCAGCCTGGCCAACATGATGAAACCCTGTCTGTACTAAAAATACAAAAATTAGCCGGGTGTGGTGGCATGTGCCTGTAATCCCAGCTACTTGCAAGGTTGAGGCAGGAGAATCGCTTGAATGCGGGAAGCGAAGGTGGCAGTGAGCTGCGATCGCCCCATTGCACTCTAGCCTGGGTGACAGCATGAGAGACCTCGTCTCAAAAAAAACAAAACAAAACAAAACAAAACAAAACACACACACACACAAAACCCAAAAACCCAAAAACCAAAACTTCACGTAATCACTGCCCTACATTAATTCTGAAAGAACTTGTTTTAATACTGACCAAAGGCCACCTTGTAAATGAAGGCCATGTGACTTCACAGTGACAGGAGTGAATTTGTGTTATCTTCCCACTCTCCCTGCTATCTTCTACCAGGCATAGCACACTACACATCATGCAGGAGCTGGGATACAGTCTGTCCTCATGTTGGACAGCAAAGCTCATGTTTGCACAGAGAGTATTTGTAGCCCCATGTCTGGCTCACTCCTGATGTACCTCAGAAGGACAGGTTTCCTCTTTGGAACTGCAGCTGGTAACCTGACTTGTCCACCTAAGCTAATTCACATGCCAGAGCATGAGGCCTTCTACATTTTCAGGTTCATCATCATTTTGGTGGATATGTTGTTCCCTGGCTGTTTAGTGGGGCCAGACCTAAGCCAGGGGAGGATAAATGAACAAGTCCAAAGGTCACCCATCTCTGTGTGTCTTACATTTGGTTGCGGAGAGCTGGGATTTATACTGCCCTCGGACCAGCCGGCAGGTGGACCCATCTCCGTTGCAGACCCCACAGTTATCTTCCTTGACGGTGCTTCCCAGCTGGTGATCGCAGCCCACGATCTAACAAGAAAGAGAGATGTGTAATTCAACCAAGCAGCTACCGATGGCAGAATCCACTATGAGGCCAATCACCACAAAACAACCCTCCCTTCATCCCTGAGGGGCCTAAAACATACTTCCCATGAAGGGGACTGAATTCAACCGGAATTTGAATCAAGCTAGGAAAGAAAAAAAGGTAGCATGGGTAAAGATGTTTTCAAAGTTCAGATATACAAATAGAAAGAAGGGTAAAAGAAAGAGAATGAGAGAGAATAGGGAGCAGGGTAGGGAATGATGGGAAGAAAGTAAGAGAAACAAGAAGATCCTGAATTATTGATGTTTTAGGGCCTAATTCAAGAATAACTTCTATGTTAAGAATTACGATTCACCCAAATGACAAAAACTACAACCAAGAGGTAATGGTAGCAGGAAACATTTTATAAATGATCTCCATGTTCCACATGGTTCCTTAGAATGTAAGCTGCATAAGGGTGGGTGATTTGTATCTTGGGTTAATTAATGTATTCCAAGCAATGAGAACAGTGCTTAGTCAACTGTAGGCCCTCAAAAAATATTTGCTGAGTGATAATGAAAATACTTCCTTTTCTAGCTAGCACTCCAGCTTAAAAAAGAGAAGACAGTCAGCAAACAGATACGAACTTAGTGTGTGTGTGCGTGAGGAAGAGGAGGGTTGCATGACGGGCAGCAGGGATGAACACCACTAAGACCCTGTCATTTGCCTTATCCTGTCCTGTACCAGGCACAGCACAAATATCTCATTTATTCTCAAAAGAGGCATGCAAGTAAGATATCTCCATTCTATAGTTGAGGCCATGAGTCTTACCCAAGGTCACTTAGCTAAGAAGCAGTCAAGTTCTAAAGACTTCTAGTGAAACAATTACGCCTGGTCCAAATCAGGCTTAACAACATCACGGGCTTTTATAAGGTATGTGGGCAATGCCATTTGTGTCTTTCCTCTTTACTTTCCAATATCTGAGTTTTAGAAATTCAAATCCAAACTATGCCAGGTTGTATGGCTTATAGTTCTAGTTAGATCAAATATAGAAAGATGTATTCCATTCCCAAACTATTTCAATTACTCTGTTTGACAAAATAAAATGATAATGGTAGTGACAACTAAAGGGACTTATGGCTTCTCTTCATAAAGTCCCCACAGTTCGTCTTGCCTTTCAAAAATCTGGTTGTTAATATGACCAGAGGCTTGAGGCTTTTCTTTTTTATTCCTTTTATTAATAATTGCAAACACATGTTTAGGCAAAGGTTTAAAAACATAATTATTTTACATTGTGTTATATATGTACTCTATTTTTTAAATGTGGTAATGTGTATTTTTTCATTAATAGCAAATGAACATCTTTTAAAAATAGATGAAAAGCAACAACTCCTTCGATAACTGTACATTTTTTTAAGTGCAAAGATGTCAGGAAAACATGATGCTGAGTTCTAAAGTCAGGGACAAAGGCAGATGGGCTCTATCCCTGTGAGTTTACCATAACTGAGGAGCAGTTCACTTCAATCTACTCAGAGGCTGCAGTGAGGCCACTTCAGAAAGCAACCGAATTTCATCCCTGCAGTGCCAAGCATGTGCTGGCTTAAGAGTTCTTTGGTGTATTTCTACGTAACTGCAGTAAAATTATTTTCAAAATTCATATCTGTAGACGGGCCCGCCCATGAGCTGATCACTTCTGTATTCACTCTTATGTTCTTAGTACAGTGTGAAATGGGATTACAGAAGTACTTTATAAAAGAATTCATTTAACTGTTTAGGCAGCATTTATTGAGGACCTGCTATGGGCCAGGCACTGTGCTAGCAGCAACATTCAATGGTGAATTTCAGCATCTATGGGTCCACTCTCATGAGACTGTACAGTCTAGTGGCAGAGGGAGATAGTGCTCAAATCGTCACACGCAAAAAGTGTAAAATGACAATCATGATAAAAGCTATAAAACACAGACACATGGCACTCTGAGAGCATAAAATGTGGATAACTCCATTTGGTTAGGGAGGCAAGAGAAGATTTCCCTTAGGAAGAGACTTTTTTGAGCTGAGATGTGAAGTCAGAGTTAACAATGGAAGAGAGGTGTCACATGAGGTTCACCGTGTCCTTTAGAAATGGCTGGATACTAGCTAATTGGAGAGGAAGCAAAAACCAAAGTTGGCCCAAAAAAAAAAAAAAAAAAAAAAAAATCAGAAAACTGATAACCTAATTGCCTTAGAGGGACCAAATTCTTTGAGAAAGCATGACAGTTTTAATTTAGGCAACATTCAAAGCATTATTGACTCTACTGTTGTTGTGGTTGCTGGGATTAAAGAGGACTTAATCTGACAAGATCCTTGGCTATGTGGAAGGACAGCACGGGCAGTGGGCACAGGAATTTCCACTCTCAGGCATCCCAAATCTAACTGGATTTACTCCTTAAACTATAGGAATTTCAGGTTTCTCAAAGGATTTAAGTTTCTCTGGAAAATTTTTAATGGACTCTGATACCTCTAATGGAGCCAAAGGAGATAATCATGAAAATCTCTCCCTAAGTCTAAAGATTTCTTATGGTTCCAAAACCATTTTCAGTAACGAACAATTCAGCTTCACAGATCCAAAGTAACAGTAATATTAGAAATAGCTAAATAGGAGGTGACATACTTTAAGACTAACTTGGCTAGATGCCTGACTTAGCACTCTTAGTGTGGGTTTATGGACCCCAGGATATGAACCAAGTCAGTTTTAAATGGGCTTTGTTTAGCTTCAGAATTTAAAAGACAAACATCTCCCTGACACAATTGTTTTTTTTCTTCCTTTTCTCTGTTATCGATTCCTCTTCAATCTGCCAAAATCTTCTAACTCAATTATTTTAAAAATGTGGAATACTTGATATCAGATAAAATGTTCTTACTTTGGTCCAAGTGGAAAATTGTTTGCAGAGATATCAGGATAATCATACTTGACATATCTTAATCTGTTGATTTTGAATAACTGTTAGATTAATTAAAATTAGTTGTTACTTTAAGACCTACTATTAATAACAGAGAAAAAAATAAATAGAAATACAAAAATGGGCTTAATTGGCCCTCTGTGCACGTGCTATTATTTTTTGTCTAGGATACTCTTTCCCTAGTCTTTATTTGGCAAACTCCTATTCATCCTTCAAATCCCAAACTAGGTGTCTCCTCAAGAAAGCCTGTCCAGATTCCAGAGGTAACTGCCTTATTGCTGTATGTTTCCATAGTCGTTTCTTCATACCTCCATGTGGCAGAGGTTTCTGGTTGTCATCCAATATTCATCTTCTCTTATTTTTCTTGTACTGGAGCCCAATTTTATCTTGGTTAGCATTATATGCAGTTAAAAGAATACATTTCTCATTCGTCATGAGACCAAATCATAATTACTGAAATAAAAGTGGAAGTGCTGTGTGAGGCTTCTGGGAAGGCTACTTAAAAGAAGCTGACTTAGCTGGGGAATGCCTTTTCCACCCTCTGCCTTCCTACCTTCCTGCTGGCTCCAGCAGCCATCTTGGAAATGAGACAATCTTGAGAATGGAAGCCTTGTACTCAGAATGGCAGAGCAGAAAGAGAGAAAGATCCTGTTTCCTGAACCACACTTGGACTGATTACGTCTTTTTTTGTGAGAGAATAAATATTTTACGTGTCTAAGCTACTATTATTTTGTGTTTTTTTTCATGTATACCCAATTCAAATGGTTATATAACTTATATTGAGTTTACTCTATTAACATGTCTATCTCTATACAACATCCTGGGCTACCTGAGAACCTGTGTTTTACTAATCTTGATATTTCTGCTGCTCAGCCCAGTATCAGACATTTGAGATGCACAATAAATGCTGCTGAATCAATGAAACACATAATGGTTTGCTAATAGCTCCAATGTAGTTTGCAGATAGGAGACCTTAGACTGCAGCCATTGACATACGAGTCTGCAAAAATGTGTGCAGGCATGTGTGTAGGTATGTATATGTACATGTGTTTTTAACTGTGCACACAAAGAAACAGACATACCATAAATGACAGCAAGAGACTACCTAAACCTCTGTCCTGATGCATGAACAAGAATTGCTGTAAATGGCTATTATTTTTCAGAGACTATTTCCCAAGTGCACCTATGTTAATTATTAGAGAAGTGTCATGAAAGGCAACGTTTAGGTCACTGAGTTCCCAGACCCACCCCATTCTGGACAAAACATTTAAGTGAGATAATGACCACTCATAACTTTGGCAACTGCATGAAATTTTTTTGCAAACAGTGGAAAACTGAATATTTTGATCTAATACAGTTTATTAGTACTCTGCTAGGAGGTGTCAGCTGAATGCAGTGGTCTGACCTCATCCTCACCCAAAATCATTGCACGGTGCTGCTTATTTTGCAATATTTTAATCTCAGGTAACAAAAAAGTGAGAAGATCCAAGAAAAATTTAAAGAAAGGCAAAATAGCACCCCGAAACTTACCAAATTAACAGTGTTTTCATTGTTTAGACACCACTAGTGGGTTATCAAGTTCTGCTTTCATATCTGAAATGTATGTTTTTTGTACCCTCTCTTATGTACATATATGTGTACAAAGATATGCAGCCCCTTGTCTTATTTTTGAGTTGAGCAAACACACTTAACACTGCTGATTTTTCTTTATTCTTCTTTCAGATTTACTAAAGGGAGGGAGAGAACTGCCCACCGACCCAACCCCCTCCCACTGCCAAAAACAAACAAACAAACTAGGATCACAGCATCCAATCCAAGTTGGCTCAGAGACTTAGCATGTTGTGCAGATTTTAGGCATCAGGCCTGCAGTAGGGGTTTCTTCCTTCACTTTACAGAGCTGATAGCAAGAGAACAGGCAGTATGCAAGACTGAAATTCTCTAGACACTGAAATATGTATAATAAAATGCCTTCATTAGTAGCCACAGGAGAAAGAAAGATCACCATGCTAATAATTTGGAGAACATAAATAAATATAATCCATAAGCAGATATCATGCCTCAGACTGACA